AATATTAACAATTATAAATTAAAAATTATAAAATGAATGATTTCTTGATACATGAGAGAGAGAGAGAGAGAGGGAAAGAGAGAGAGAGAGAGAGAGAAAGAGAGAGAGAGAGAGAGAGAGAGAGAGAGAGAGAGAGAGAGAGAGAGAAGGCGGTTCGAGTAAAGATACGGCAACTAGCCGGTATCAAAGCCCGCGTGCCCTATGTTAGATTCTGTTCAACAGATAATTCTATTCCATGAAACTCGCCTGCACATCGTTTGTATATAGAACTTAAATATAGAGGGAGAGTGAGAGAAAGAAGAGCGAGCGAGAGAAAGAAGAGCGAGCGAGAGAAAGAGAGAGGGGGAGAGAGGGGCGAAAGAGAAAGAGAGCGCGAGAGAGATAGAGAGAGAGAAATAGAGAGAGAGAGAGCGCGATTGAGAAAAATTGCATCTGACTGAAAACATTGTTAGGTCATGAAGCGCGTTCCTTATACCTTATTCTTAATTATAAAACACTAGTCACTGTACTATTTATTATCTAACTCTACGATGATCGTAGCACACTGTTACATCGTGGCAAATTACATAACTTTGTGAATAGAACATTGTGCAACATTGCAACAGACAATGTTATGCTTGTTTACAGCTCCGTGAACATCTGCGAAACATAGCATACAGGCATGACCTCGGTGGAAGAGCTTGAGCTGATAGGGAACAGTCCCGATTTTCCTGGACCTGCACCGTATCAGCAGCAACAACTACAACAACAAAACTTACAGCAACAACAAAACTTACAACATCAACAACAACCACAACAAAACTTACAACAACAGCATAACTTGCAGCAGCAACAGCACAATCGACACCAGTATGGTCAAGCGCAAGTACACGACGAGATCTCGTCCACGGAGCGTCACGACGAGCAGGATGACGAGGCAGAGGTGGTGGAGAAGTCAGAGCCATCGTGGAAGGCCGGACTGAAGGTTTTGTTTACCAGCCTAGGACTACTGCTGATTGTCATCGCATATTCGGTCATAGGTGCTTTCATCTACATAGCTGTTGAAAAGCCGGAGGAAACGCTGCGAAAGGAAGCGAGAATCGCATTCTCGTACGAATTTCTCGAGATGGAGAACTCGACCGTTAATATTATGTATGACTGGGCGATGTCTTATCCTGATCTCTCGGACTCGGCTAGCGGCAAAGAGTGGCGTAATCGCAGCAACATGGTGAGAGCATGAATAATCTACTTAATATTAATATGGCGCGATGAAAGAAATAATTTATGCTGCGACATGACTGGATGCCTGAACTAATAATTACGCATGCTGTTTCAACTCACCGAGTTCGAGTTAATGTGTTTTGATTTCTCGCGTAGGTTATGATTCAGAATTAGGGGTTCTCTTCTTGTAGTTGCTGGCGGCTTTTCGAAAAAACATAAGTGATGGTATCAACGACTACGGTTACGATGGAACTACGGAGCTGGGAAGGTACACGTGGGACATTGCAAACACTCTGCTGTTTGTCATCACCATTATCACTACAATAGGTATGAAAAACATTTATATTTACGCATCGCATATTTATTCAATGTATATAACACCGAGCGTGTACGCGTGCGCGCGTGTGTATTATATGGACGAATGCATGTCTCCGCAGGCGTAAATACATGCGTTTCCCGGGCTTGCATATTAAATGTTTTAATGAAAGGGCGATCACGCGATCCCCAGTATACACCCCGGTAGCACCTAACGCATATAGCAACGATATGATCGATATCACCATTCATCAGCGAATATTGTCACATTCTTCCATTCTTCGCGTTTCTCCAGGTTACGGTCACATCACGCCCAAGACGGACGCAGGCAAGCTGATCGTCATCCCGTACGGCTTCATCGGCATCCCGCTCACCGTTCTCTTCCTAGGTGGCATTGGCGACATCATGGCGAAGGCGACGCGCTATATGTACGCGCGCACCTGCTGCTATCTGTGCAACCAACGACGCATGCGCAGTCAGTACTCGCAGGTGCACGACATGCATCCGGATCCCTCGCACGGCGGCGCCTTCGACGATGCCGACGAGAAGATCGAGAAGCTGAAGTCGAAGAAGGGACCGATAACGCGCAAGGAGCGGCTGCGGCTGCAGGCGCTCGAGCGGCAGGTCGAGGCGGAGCGGGCACGCATCAAGCTGGAGGAGACGAGCGGCGTCTCCGCCGATCAGGACCAGGGCGACCCGGTCGAGCAGATGTCGGTGCCCGTCGCGCTGACGATGTGTATCATTACGGCGTACGTGCTGCTCGGCGCCGTCATCTTCGCCGCCTGGGAGGAGGGCTGGGACATGACCATCGGCGCCTACTTCTCCTTCACGACGCTCAGCACGATCGGACTCGGCGACTTCGTGCCCGGCTCGTCGTCGCTGGGGTCGGACGACAACAGCCGGATGATCGTCAGCGCCTTCTACATCATGTTCGGCCTGTCGGTGCTCTCGATGTCGCTCAACCTCGCCCAGGAGGAGATCATCGAGAAGTTTCGCTGGCTGGGAAAGAAGCTGGGCATCGTCGACGACGACAGCGACGACGAGGAGGAGGAAGACGCCGTCGTCCGGGAGGATTACGGAGAGGTGGAGACACCGCTCGCGATTTCCGTGAGAAGACGCAGCGTCGGAGGAATCGGCGGTACGTCGGCGCATGCGCACGGTCGTGGGGGTGACGTCGGCGAGCGGGAGTCATCGCAAAAGCCGCCGATAGATAGGACGCCTTCGCCAGCGGCATGGGCGGAAGGGTCGAATTCATACGGAAGTAGGGTTAATCTCATCCAACACAGGCTTTAAATGTGTTTGTTTGTTTTCCCCGGTGATACTATGCGCGAGCATGTGAAATGTGCGTAGCTGGATAGTGGACGTGACAGATAGATAGATAGTAGTGGTGGTGGTGATGACGGTGATGGTGGTGATGGTGGCGGTGTCGGTGGCGGTGGCAGTGGCGGTGATGATGGTGGTGGCGGCGGCGGTGTCGGTGGCGGTGGCAGCGGCGGTGATGATGGTGTGGCTGGTGGTGGCGATGACGGTGATGATGATGATGGTGGGGGTGATGTGGTGGTGATGGTGATAGTGATGGTGATGGTGGTGATGGTGATGGTGATTTTAATGTGGTGTGGGGGTGATGTGGTGGTGATGGTGATAGTGATGGTGATGGTGGTGATGGTGATGGTGATTTTAATGTGGTGTGGTGGTGATGGTGGTGTATGTCATGCTCGCTATGTGATCGTAACATAAGGGCAGATAGATGATGATTCATATGAATTAGCAGAGACAGTTATATCGGTCGAAAAGAACAATATCGTCTACAATGCGACATGGGCGTGTGAATTTGAATTCGCATAATTGATCGATAGCTTAGTTCTTTTGGATCATTCTGCTTGATTTAGCTTATCTGAATCAGATAACTTATAACTTAATGATTGTATGTATAACTCAGAACCCTAACCCTAACCCTAACTCATCTAACTTATTCTTTACCTATTGTGTATAGAGCATACTTGTTCTTGTTTTGAGAAAGGTAATCATACGCGTTTTCCATATCCATTACATTTAAAAGATATTAAATAAATGCGTAAGGTATTATTATAGAACCAAATATTATGTTAACCAAACCTATATATTTTAATAACAGCGAGTAACTGTACGCCGCAAAATTCATCACACCCGCCATCTTGTTGTAGGTGGACAACATAAATTACGCGAGGCGAAGCGGCGGTAAAATCCGTGCACGAGAATCAAGAAAGATATCGTGGAGTTATGATTGTTTGGCCCATTGTGTCGTACAAAAATACAGGCAACCCTCCCCCCTAATATTTATAAAGAGCGATTCATAAAGCTATATATTTTTAAGCTATACCTAATAATAGGCTTGGGTGGACGACTTTATATTTATATTGATTGAAATTTTTAACAATACGAACTTGCGCATGATATTCACCTTTGGCTGCGTTAAGTATTGCAGCACCCGTCAGTGTTTCTGCATTCTAACATCTATAACTATATAAACTATTGCGTAATTAATTACGGACGTTCCTTCAAACACTGTATACAGCCGTGAACATAAAATATGGCCTTTGGTGCTGTCATGTTTTTTTTACAGAATCTACCGTTAATTTCGTGACGCCAGTACTATTGCCGTTCTAGACCTAACTATAAGCAAACAGTTCAGTTACAATAAATATCATTATATGGTTGTTTTATGAACTGTTATGTGCAGGTACATGGTACAGCTGCAGGCTTGTGAATAATACATTAGCAATGTTGAAAATGTGATAGATCGCCAATGTGTTAGGAACCGATGTATAGACCGACCACATAGGCTTATAGAAGCAGCGACATCTAGTGGACATAAATGACTGCAGAATGTGATCGATCTATCACGCATCACGACACCTTGTATTAAACAACGGTCGTTAAAATGTTCACGATATTTACAGCTGTAAACTTGCAAATACAAAATGCTAACAACGCTGACAATTTTCTACAGCGAATTGCAGAAGTGAACGAGTTATGACATAATTCATAAGTGTAATCGTGCATCGACTTAATAGTTTATTGTAGTCGCTCTCGTTTTATCAATGAATGCTAGTGTTCGAACCGACAGACCTATATCGTAACGGCGAAGAACCACGGTCCCATTCGTCACAGAATGCAATATATTTTAGACGAATATAATCCCTTCCCCAAATTTGCTTTTCTGTTGATATTGCAAATATCCCTATATCTTTTTTACTAGATGACAAAGTGGTGCAGCCTCTGCTTTTGTTTCTTTAATATCTCTCGTCTCATGGCGTCTCAATAAATAATCGCTCATAGGCATTAGATTAATGTTCGCCGACGAACTATGATAATAATTCAGCACTTGCTATCGTTGTTAACACGCAAACCTTGTACAGAATGTACTGTTCTGACGATGTAATACGTAGGTGCCGTTTGTCATATCGACGCACATATGCTAATAAAGACAAATGACGCTACCTATATACAATTGATACATATCGTTTTATTCTTGTATTTACACACATTAAATGGATGCCTCACGCAAAACAAGCAAGTTGTAGTGAGGTCTGTTCCGTTGAGGTCTGTTACAGTTATTTGATTTTAATTTGTTTTAATGGTTTAAATTCCGTTTACAGTTATTTTCTTGACATCAGTTGCCTGTTCCGCGTTGCGTCCCAGCTTTCCCATTAGAAAATCATTCGCCAACATTACGTTAATTACAACTCAACCGGATAACATACTCTACAGTTTCTTATAACTCAAACACGCATTACATTACCCCATGTTTGTACGATGGCGCCACCTGCATTGCCCCTACACGCACCTCTCAAATTTTACCTCCTCACCTAAAATGCCCATGTCGCAATCAGAATCTAAATCAGAATCTATAATGTGTTGTAACATGAACCGGTAGTGTGAACCTATCTTGTATATACAATGATTACAGGCAGCCTTTACATTATATCCGTCCACGCATACGTGTTAATAAGACACAAATTGACAGTAAAAAAAATCCTAATATCATTTTCAAAGTACGCGAGTCGGCGATTTCGTAGCGCCTTGTTTATAATGATATGACTGCTGCACATAGGAAAGCTAGAAAACCGCTGACTCGGGTAAACGTTGGTCGACTGCTACTGCTGATGCTGCCTTGGCTGTTACGATCAAGATGGCGACTAACATCGGTGCCTACAGACACAAAAGTGTGATGAAACAAAAGAATCGTGTGATGAGTATATATATATATATAAAATAACTCAAAAATCATATATATA